CGCGGAGCGGCTGGGCCCGTGAGCCATGGCCGCTGAGCCTGCGCGTCCGGAGCCTATGCTCCGCAACGGGAGAGGCCACAACAGTGAGAGGCCCGCGTACCGCAAAAAAAAAAAAAAAAAAAAAGGAGGAATCTCAGTTCTTGTCCTTTTCAACATGGAAGAGCTCCTGGACCCAGAATGTTGACCAGGCATCGAAGGGTGAAAATGCACATTGGATGCCCTAGGGGGCCCTTTTGAAGTCCTTTCACCCTCTATCAGATTTTAAATTCTTGTTTTTGTCACACTTTCAAATAGTAGGAATTTTGGAAGCACATTCAAAGGGAGAATACACTCAAAACAACACTTTACCTGCAATTACAGCTCACTCACATTTCTGTAAAAAACAGCCAGTAGTCATTTCACTACACACTTAATCACCCTTTTGTTTGCCTAGACCTGCTTACTCCCTGATGGCTCACTCCACGAAGTGAAGTTCTGCCACAGGCCAGGAAGTACCCTTTTATGAGCCCTCCACGGCCTTCGTGATAATTGTCTTGCAGAAAGTGGCTCCTTCCTCCATTCCATGTCTCATGACCTGCTTAGCTCAACATCCTATATATTATTTTTTTTTTTTTTTGCGGTACGCGGGCCTCTCACTGCTGTGGCCTCTCCCGTTGCGGAGCACAGGCTCCGGACGCGCAGGCTCAGCGGCCATGGCTCACGGGCCCAGCCGCCCCGCGGCATGTGGGATCTTCCCGGACCGGGGCACGAACCCGTGTCCCCTGCATCGGCAGGCGGACTCTCAACCACTGCGCCACAAGGGAAGCCCCTGTTTTTTTTTTAATATATATTTATTTTTGTCTGCGTTGGGTCTTCGTTGCTAAGTGCAGCCTTTCTCTAGTTGTGGCGAGCGGGGGCCACTCTTAGTTGTGGTGCGCGGGCTTCTCATTGCGGTGGCTTCTCGTTGTGGAGCATGGGCTCTAGGCATGCGGGCTTCAGTAGCTGTGGCTCGCAGGCTCTAGAGCGCAGGCTCAGTAGTTGTGGTGCA